CCTCCTGCCGTTTCACGTCCCTCTAATCATTCCGCCAGCCCAACATCATTCCACCAGCCCACCTTTTTTCAGAGCCAAATAGCATTACATTGGCACCACCTTTCCTCTGAAGGAGGGAGAACGGTCCCAGCGCCCAGATCATTTTACCTGCCTCTTCTCAAGCTCCACACTTAGCTGAGATGGAGTTCACTGAAAAGGACTAGAGTATTCCAGGCACGATTGTACTACAGGCTTCTTGTACACGGGCAATATGATACTGGCAACTACACACGGCTTTTGTAGTTGTGCCCAACAAAAAATCTGCCTCTTCTTTTGCATCCAACACACCGCAGGCCAACAATATCACCACCCTACCTACTATAACCCCAAGACCTCTTGCTCGGCCAGGGCCCACTCGTTCAGAGGCCATCCGGGTGTATGTTTAAGTTAACACAACAAAAACATCTGTGTTTTCATTAGGACTAGCTTAAGCTCCGCAAAAGCGCACAAGCTTCTGAGATAATCAGGCAATAATAAAAAAATGGGGGGAGGGAGGAAGCAGAGAATGAAAAAGAAATCAGCAACAAGTCATGGCCAGATATTCTGCCGTTAAACTCAATCCCAATGGATCAAATGAGGCTTTCTTTGATAGACAAGCAGCGATCAAATGACAACTAGCCATGCTCCTGGGAAGAAAGCCATTTCTGGAAAGAATGCCCCTGGCTGCAACTCGAGTTGTGCCCCTTGCTTTAAGTGAAGAATGCAGGTTCCCATGACAGCACAGAGCGGACATCTGTGACACTCTGCCACGCTCCCTAAATTCCATGAAGGTTTTGAGACACACAAGGGTTTTGAGACATAGACAATGTTTCCTCACTCTCCCAGACTGCACTGCCCGTTTCAGAATGGATGCTGGGAAGGAAGGCACCTGCACTGACCCCAGAGGGCAGGCAAGGACCAGTTCTAAGGGCTGGCACTTGCCCTGACCATTCTGTCAATTTTCTCACCCTGAAAATGTCTCATGCAGGCAGAGCTCCACAAAAGGACACTGGCCAGGGCTTCTGATTCATTGCCAGGAATTTAACGCCTAGCCAGAGTTTTCCAGACTCTGTTCTATGAAATCCTCTCATCATTCAATTGTTTAGGGTTAGGTTTTATATTCTGCACATAATCTTAGGAAGATTTACTGCAAAAGACTAGTTTATAAATCCTTTTTTAAAAAAAAGCAAAGGTGCTTCTCAGTGCTTAAACCCTCCCCAATCAGTACTCGGGAGGCTCAAAGGGTCTACTCATTTAGCTGATAGATAATATTCAAGGTGTGAAGTCTGAGAATACAACTCTGACATGTGTCATTGCTATGCCTTAGATCAGAATGGTCAAAGTCCAGAGATCTGATGGTTGCAGACGCTCCTCCGAGGATCCCAGAGAAATGCACATTCTCCTGCCCACCCCAGAATTTTTCCATTTTAAAAGGGATTTTTTAAAAAAAAACTAGGGAAGTCTCTTCATTCCCTCTAGTGGCCAAAGTTTTTTTTTTCATAGAAAATTTTGGCATGCCTATGGGGTGGTGAAAATATGGCAACATGTCCTCCTTCTCCCCCTAGAGATCACAAGGAACATTTTAAAAAAGGGGGGGGAGAGGGAGGACGCTGGGTGTGTGGCCTGGTGCTATTTGCAGCCCACAAGCCACACTTTCCTCTTGTGCACTTGAGTCCCTAGATCTTCTTGGGAGTACAACTCCCGGAATCTCTGGGGATCTAAGGCTGGGAACCACTACTCTACATCCAATAACTGCCAACTCCTCCCGCTTCTTTGTCAGGTGAGGGCGACAGGAGTGATGCGCCCTCAAAGCTTTATCAAAGCCATGTGCTACCTCTCTTCGAGACCTCATTTGTGACCCACCCATCATTTCAGGCATGGGCACAAAATCACCTGGAACACAATCAACGTTGGATCCCTGCTTTAGTCACTCAAGTCCCCAAAACAGGAGACCACTTCCCACCAGCCTGGAGACATTCAAAGGGGGTTACAAGAAGGTACAGATAAAAGGCTACCAACTGCAGTTTTCCAAGAGAAAGAAATACATACATTAGTGTCTGTCTATCTATCTATAGGCCTGACCTTCCCTTTCCTGCCTGTTGACAGCCTTCACCATCTTCCAGAGCTTGGCACTAAACTGTCGTTTCCTAGCTGCTACTCAAATAAATACAGCAACCTGTATTCATTTGAGTAAAAGGTAAAAAGGTAACTGTTCCCCTTGACAATTTGTCCAGTCATGTCTGACTCTAGGGGGTGGGGTGCTCATCGTTTGCAACCCATAGAGTTAGCGTCTGTCCGCAGATAATCCTCCGTGGTCAGGTGGCCAGCGTGACTAGACACGGAGTAGCAGCAAGGAACTATAGTTAGCAAAGGAAATCAAGTACGCCCTGCACAGTACTCAACTTTCACCATCTATCTCAGTTTTTTTGGACCCAACCCACGAAGCCACACCTTCTCTAGGCCAACACAAAGCGTTACCTCTTGGGGAGGTCAGCAAAGGGGTCTTTGGATTTCGGCTCAGCGGCCAAAGCCTGCTCACACTCGTCCAATTCCTCTTCAGGTTCTGGCTTCTTCTCCTCTTTCTTCTCGGACTTCTTCTCCTCCTTGGGCTGCTTCTCCTTCTTGGGCGCATCCTTCTTGGGCTGATGCTCAGCAAACTTCTTAGCTGCAGGAATGGGAGCAGGGAGTAAGCTACAGAGGAGCCACGAGTCAGAGACAAAGTACAGGTTTTGCACCCAAGAAACCCTTCCAATTCAGTCTCTGGAACGCTGAGACAGCGGGCCAAGACTGCCTGGTAGGAACCCTGACCAGATAATCTGAGACACGCTTGCTGGAAAAGATGATACTTGGCTAGATGAATCAATTATTCAATGTCAACTTAAAAAAAAGTTTCATACAAGTGTGGAAGACAAAACTGTTCCAGATGCATCTGCTCTTAAGCTTAACATGGATCAGGGTGTTTGCTGTATCCTGTATCAGATACATATTAAAAGCAGCATCTAACTTTGCCGTTCCCCTTGAAAATCCTACATCAGCAAACAGAGCTGGTTAATTGTTAGGATTTAGAGAATCAATGTACCACACAGTGTTTCAAAAGAGTCAAGACTACGATGTACCAAGGCGGACCCAAATTATAGCAACCCTAAGAGGGTTTTCAAGGAAAGTGAAATATTTAAGGAGTGGTTTTGCCACTGGTGAGTGCACATGGCTGAGCGAGGATTTGAACCCAGGCCTCCTAAGTCCTAGTCTGTTTCTCTGTCCAATACAAAACACTGGGTGGGTATGTGTTGCAAGGCACAAATCCTGCCTTTTCACACTAGGGTCTTAAGAATATAAGTAACGGAAAGAGTAGGATGGATTCCTGCTTAACACATGCTTCCTTTCTGAGGCCAGTTCCCTATACATATAAAACAAGGCCATCCTTCAATAGAGGAGAGTTTGAGAGCCTGAATGGGCTCAGCTGTTTCTTTACCATCAAACTGTGCCATCTTCTCGCACAGCTTCACTTCTCCCAGGACAGCCTTGAACTGTGGCTGATTGATACAGGTCACAAACCAACGATTCACATTTCCATAAGGCTGGCGGAAGGATGGCTCCAAAACCTGAATATGAAAAAAAAACTTTTTAGACAGGCAACCTCAGCTGCAGTGCATGCAAATGCCACGTTATCTGTCTTGTATCCAAATAACCTCATTTTACTTGCTTATCTAATCTTCGTACTTCCCTTTGGACAGGAAGTGCCAAGTTAGGTGGGAAGGCAAGATACTGAAACATTGCCTTACCCCCAAATATTTCAGCTTCACTCTGGATTGAACCCAAACTACAAAAACACGGTCTAAATACCAAACAGAAAGTTGCCACCAGTAATAATGTATTTAAGAAATTTGCTGTGTCAGGTGCACAACTACAAAAGAGAACATCAGCGTGGTCTCTGTGCTACTCCACAGCAGAATTTGCTAGTGCTGTATGGTATAATTCAGCACACGCCAAACAGATGTAACTCTTAATGAATCACACAGGATTATTACTGGCTGCCTGCAACTTGCCCCATTCCCACTGAAAACGTCTATTATCGGCTGGCATTGCTTCTCTGAAAGTCGAGAGGTATATAATACAGCATCAAACCTGCCCACTAATCCCCTAGATCAGTGGTTCCCAACCTTTTTTCAAATCGCGGGCTGGTTGGGGGGGCAGGGCACACATGCGTGCAAGGGGTGGGTGGGAGATCTGTCTCCGCAGCCAAGTTGGGGACCCCTGACCTAGATGACGGCTAAAAACAGGGAACAGTTTTCTGCAACCGTCTCAAACTCTAAATATTAACCAGAAGAGCTAGGCTATACCTATGGAGAACACAAACACCACGCTTCGCTGAATAGATGGATGCTAAAGAGTGTCTCCCACCAGGACAAAACTTTGGCTGGGCCATCTGGAAGTCCCTTAATAAGACTTGGAAGTGAAATAGGATGATCAAAGAATAATCAAGCAAAATAGGGCTACTTGGATACAGGGTAACTTTTCTGTGATACAGAGAAATTCAATCAATGCGACATTTATATGCATGCAACTTATGCCCCATGATGTGTGCGAAAGATCTAGTAAATGGCCAAGATAACACTACTGAAGTAGCCCACTTCTGGATGACAAAGGTCTAAGTATCTTAACGTTTTAATTTGTTTGAAATTTTACCTACATTTCATACACATCCATGTTTTTAAATTGTGCAATAAAGCTTGATTGGCAGAGGCTACCACCCCAATTTCATCCAAACTACACAGCACCTTGTACTGATAAAGGGGTTTTTGGATACTACTGAAGAATGGTTTAATATTATGTGAACAAGGTCTAGATTCTTGCCCCCACGGTGGATAATGGAAACTTTCAACTTCCAAGACATCTAGAGTTCATCAATGCACCAGGAGGATCCTAGTCAGTTGAAACCATGATTTGTTCAGATAAGTTTTAAACTGAGAGTTAAGGACCTTTGCTTAACAGTTCCAGTGGACCTGAGTTCTCCAGGACACACTGATGAACTGCTTTCGGGGCAGAAGAGAAAGGAACAAGATTACATCTCCTCCTGAGTTGTGACAGAAACAGGAAAGGAAGACAGAAGCAAATAAGCCCAAGATTCATTCACATAAAATTTGTTCTACTCTGCCCTGCCCCCCAGCTAACAGAATTAGATTTAACAAGTAGAACAAAACATGGATTATTTCTTTACTTTCTTCTATATGATGACTCAAGGAACTCTGGGACAAAAATCTGGATCTCTCTCCTCATTTTATGTAGAATTAAAAAAAAAAAAAGGATTGGGAACATTTTCCAGATCTCCCAACAACATCTCAGGACAACTCTAGTGCTCGAGTTCAAAGAGTAAGAAAAAGGTAAGAAAAAAAGGATTGGGAACATTTTCCAGATCTTCCAACATCATCTCAGGACAACTCTAGTGCTCAAGTTCAAAGAGTAAGAAGGTAAGAGTGTGCAGGTTTCCAGTAGGGCCACCAAAAATCTTATCCAGGGCTGTCTTTTGAAGTCATCACGTCATGTTTTGCCTGTCTGGGCTCACCAGCAAAATACTCAGGGAGGAGTCTGCAGAATCACAGATGACCATGAAAAGCAAGAGCAGACTATGCTTGCTGGTTCTCCCCTATTGATGGGGAGCACCCATTTTTCCAGCACCACATAGGCAGCAAGCAAGGAAGATACCCCGGCCCTTCAGCTCCTTAGCCGACTACCAGCGACTCACCTGTTTGTACAGCCACAGCAGAGTGCAGACAACCGTTATGTCAGCGAGGGTGATGCGCTCCCCAACCAGAAAAGTCCTGGTTTTCAAGTGGGAGTCGAGAATGTTCAAAACTCGCTTTACTTCCTCCTTGGCAAACTCTGTGGCCTGTTGGAGGAGAGACAGGCACATTTAAGGGTACTACCCAGAGGAAAAGCTGTGGCAAACAAAATATATGCCAAAGCAAATCCTCTTATACACCACAAAGCAAAAAACAAGGAAACAGGAGACAAAGGCTTTCCTGAGAAATAAAGCTCACCGGCAAATGTAATCGTGTTGTTATGTGTCATCAAGTTGCTTATGCTTTATGACAACACCATGAGAGTGATCTACGAAATGTCCTGTCCTCAACAGCCTTGCAAACTCAAGCCTGTGGCTTCCTTTAGCGAGTCAGTCCATTTCGTATCTGGTCTTCCTCTTTTCCTGCTGCCTTCAACCTTTCCCAGCAACACTGCCTCTTCCGGAGAATCCTGCCTTTTCATCATGTGCCGAAGGCAGGACAGCCTCCGCCTCAACATTTTTTGTCCTCCAGGATAGTTCAGGCTTGATTTTTATCTAGGACCCATTTGTTTGTCTTTCTGGCAATCCAGGGTATCCACAAAGCTCTTCGCCAGCACCAGATTTCAAACGCACCCCCGCCTTTTTAAAACTTAATGTCCAGCTTTATCACCCACACATGGTGATCGGAAATGCAATATAATGAACACTAATGAAATGTGACATGCTATCACCCACACATGGTGATCGGAAATGCAAGAATATAACGAACACTAATGAAATGTGACATGTCGTTCCCTTTTTCAACCTGCCCTTCTTGACCCATCTGCATCTCACTGGTAGCAGAGTGCACGCTCAGCACAAACAGGGGCTGGGGATGCATTCCGCAGCACTGCCCATGAAAAAAAGATCTGCACCAGCAAAGCATGAGAAATATGGCACTCAATGTCAGGCATGGCCACTGGCAGCCTGCCAAACCTGAGACTCGCTGGCAAAAAACCCTACTGTCGGCGGAGCAAGGAACTGTCTTGGCCGACAGTTACTTGTGGGTTGCTGACTCTTGTACAGCTTTGTCTGGAACAGATGCCATCTCCGCTGATTTTGTAACTTGAAGCTTATGTTGTACCCTTTACACTATTCCTGGCCAGAGGATTTGGGACATGGAATTGTCGAGCGGGAAGGTCCACCAGGGTCAGCTCATGCAAGACTTTTGCCAGGACCAGAAATCCACAGGCACAGCACTCTTGGCAGGGGCCCATCCGGCCCCTATGGGAACCACCTTAAGAAATAAGAGTCCATGAGATGCTGGACTACAACTTCCTCTCAGCTGCAGCAAGCACTCCCGGGGCTGGCAGAGGTCTGGAAATCCGCGGACTAAAGGCATGGCATGCCAGCTGCTCTGGCATAGGCCGTCGGAGGCTACAGGGCTGCCATGGTGGCAGGGAAGGCCTCAGCCAGAAACTCTGCACGGTCAGTCCACACACACGGTATGGCAACGCCGTTTCTCAACCCTTTCCACCCATTCTCTCCTTTTGGGGAAAAAAAAAAACTCATACTCGTCCTCCAAGACCACTTCCTTCAATACACTCTATGTGTCACAACTAAAATAATTCAAGGCACCTGGAAATTATTTTGAAAACATAAATTGATCTTCATTTTCAAAATCTGTATTAAGAGGTACCGCCTTGCCTTGGCTATAATTTTACGGCAAATTTCTGCTTGTTCACAGGACACAGTGTAAGTCCTGGGGACAAGTTCCCACATGAATGAAGTGCTCCATTAACGAGCGGCCACTGGCCCCCAGGTTCAAGCTATTTCCCTACACAAGTACAAATCAGCAATCAGATTCTGGACAATGTAAACTGATATAATGACTGCATAATACTGATGTTGTAAATGTAAATACCCACCCACTCCATTTCAGGTAAAATATTGTACAGTGGTACCTCGACTTACAAACTCCATCTGTTTTTGGAACGACGTTTGTACATCGAAAAGTTCGTAAGTTGAATTAATCCGTTCCAGCATTTCAAAAGGCAAAAAGGCAGGGTGAAAGGACTGGAAATTCCAATTTCCCACCTTTTATCCCTGCCTTTTTGGCTTCGGAGATCTCAAACGGCTTCCTCCAATGTCGTCCCATGCCTTTTTGCCTTCAGAGGTCTCAAAGGGCTTTCTTCGATGTCAGGGGGAAAGCCCTTCGATACCTCCGAAGGCGCTGATCTCGGTGGCGGGGACCCCCAGGGAGGTGTTCCATGGTGGCAGGCAAGCCCTGGGAGACCTCCCTGGGGGCCCCCGCCGCCGCGATCGGAGTTCTCAAAGGGCTCCCCCCCGACATCGGAGGAAGCCGTTTGAGAGCCCCGAAGTCAAAAAGGCAGGGATAAAAGGTGGGAAATTGGAATTTCTAGTCCTTTCACCCTGCCTTTCTGCAGGGAGCCATTTATGAACGGCTCTGTTGGCAAAAAATGGCATTGACTTGCGAACACAGCCTCGACCTCGTTCGTAGGTCGAGGCTCCGTTTGCAAGTCAATGCCAATTTTTGCCAATGGAGCCGTTTGCAAATTGAAAAGTTTGTACATAGGGATGTTCGGAAGTGTAGGGGTGATTGTAGTACAGTATTCAGCATGCATTTTTTTCAAACTATATAGGCCTCTTCTAAAATTCCTCCAGTTATGGCTCCAGGTGGCACTGCCCAATGGCTGAGACTCAACAGACTGCAGCAATGACCTCTGTACAAGCACTGCCTCCCTTAGGATCATGACCCACCTGCTTATTATACTGCATGATGCCCAGTGTGGGGAAGACCCAGGTGCTGGCTGGAGGGACAACATCACTGTCTGCAAAGCTCACCCACTGGATGACCTGGGCTGCAGCTTCCTTGGTTGCTCCTCGAAGCTCATCATTGCTGACTGGAGGAAGGAAGCAGATGGTAGAGAATAGGACGATGCTTGAATGACCAGACAGTCAAGAGGCCAAAAAGCTGGAGCACAAGAACAGTTCAAACAATTATATCTGATGTCGGCAACAGCCCAGCTTATGCTAAATAAAATGTTCCACAAGACTGATGCTTTAGTTCAGCCCCAACCTGGGGTGGAATCACAAAGTCTTTGTTCATTTGTGGGGGCGGGGTGTCCACAAGTGACTTTGTATGTGTTGCAGCCATTGTTAAATAATTTCTTCCTTGACCTTTCAAGAGTGGGGCATTAAGGTTAGTGTGTATACCTGAGAAACAGGCCCTTTGCGGGGAGAAAGAAGCCTCTACCTTTCTGAGGAGGGATTTTACCTCATCAATAGTGCCTTTTTATGCAAATGTGGCAGGGGGAATCACAAGTTATGTTGCTATTATAAAAGGGCGCCATGACTCAAAAAGGTTGGGAACCACTGCTTTAGGTAGAAATTCACCTTCTGAATGACTAGAGATTTCAACACACTTCCAGAAGAGTAAGGGGGAGGGAATGGATCTCTCTCTCTCTCTCAAGAGGCTTTTAAAGTGTCATTTTCAGTAAGACCACGCTGAAGCTCTTACTCTTACACTGGGAAGGCAGATGGACATACACAAAGAGTCAATCAAGCTGCGACACCAGATCTGGAAAACCAGACTGTCAAGCCAAGAATTGACACTTAAAAAAGTAACGAAGCTCAGACAAAGGAGGGAGGTCCAAAGCAGCCAGAAAGCTTCTGCTCCCTCCACATGCAGCACCCTGTCATCTACCTTTAGAAGCCAGAAAACCTTGCTCTCCCTGCAACCTAAGCTGCCTTCTGTCAGTCATGAATCTAGTGTTTCTTTACTGAATGACACAATCTGTACACCCTCATCCTGTGATGTTAAGAAACAGAAAAGAAAGAAATGAGAATTACCATAGTGTGCAATGGCGTTGCTCTCAAACACACAGAATCCATCATCCCCTTCAAAGGCTGGGACCTGCAAAGAACAAGAGGCTTTCTGAACACCACAGATGGCACCAGGAGGCCGCGCTACATTCATTGGGTGCTCTACCAAACTTAACACCACCCTTCCCGTGCGTGCTGGTGGCAAAGCAGAGCTAGCACACAGATCTTAAGTCAGACGTTTCAGCCTGAACTCCGAGATCTCCAATGTATGGCAAAAGGGTGGCCCTTTGTGGGCTGTGAAATGTCAACACCATTCTGGCTGTACAAACCAGCCCTGGATTCATACCGAGTGACGAGGCTTTCCCCTAAATTACCTGGTTGCAAATGAAATGCTAGAAACATGAATGTTCTCCCCTTACAAACTCGTAACTCAGCACAGGCATAAATCTAAAATGTTGGGCTAGTTCAGCACATCCTTACTCCACTGGCGACATGGAGGAGGTTCATCCCAAAGGAGATGTTCAGGATTGTTAAGTCTGCAGACTAGTTGTTGCCCTTAAGGACTCTTATTGGCTTTAAACTATTGGCAAGATCTCCACTGCGGATGCTTCAGAGCTAACAAAAGCCTGACCAAGGGCAATACAATATGCTACACATACAGTACAGAACTCCCAGAATCAGCCATGGGGAAGCTCTGTTTAAATGTATGCAGAGTCTCCAAACCTCAAGGTTAAGGAGTTGCCCACTTCATTAAACATTAGCTGCATGAGGTTAATAGAGAGATCGGATGTGATACAATGCACACTGAAAAGCCCTTGTATCTATCTTTTGATTTTCCAAAATATTGTACAGAATAGGTTTGTCTGAATAAGTGTGGCAATGATGCAGACATAAACATTATACTATGCCTTGTTGTATATAATGATTGTGTAAACCATGTGTATTTCAGAAAAGAAATGAAAAATAAGAATACAGTGGTGCCCTGCTTTACAATTACCCCACATTACGACGAATCCGCTTCACAACATTTTTGCAATTGCTTTTGCGGTCGCAAAACGGTCTAAATACTATAGGGTTTTTTTGCTTTGCGATGATCGGTTCCCTGCTTTGGGAACATATTCTTCGCAATACGATGTTTTTTTAACAGCTGATCAGCGGTTTCAAAATGGCTGCCGGGTAATGAAAATGGCTCCCCGCTATGTTTAGAGACAGATTCCTCGCTATACAGGCACCAAAAATGGCCGCCGTATGGAGGATCTTCGCTGGACGGTGAGTTTTTAGCCCACTGGAACGCATTAACTGGGTTTTAATGCGTTTCAATGGGCTTTTTATTTTCGCTTTCCGATGTTTTTGCTTAACAGCGATTTTCCTGGAGAGCCAAATACTTCAATGCATCCTCATAGTTGCCCTGAAAGTGAGCTGCCAACCAAACAATGGCTGCCGTATGGGGGATCTTCGCTGGACAGTGAGTTTTTAGCCCATTGGAACGCATTAACCGGGTTTTAATGCGTTTCAATGGGCTTTTTATTTTCGCTTTATGATGTTTTCGCTTAACAGTGATTTTCCTGGAATGGATTATTGCCGTTAAGCAAGGCACCACTGTAGAGGTAAATACTTCAATGCATCCTCATAGCTACCCTAAAAGTGAGCTGCCAACCAAATGCCTCCAGGCTGGAGAGCGCCTCTGCCATAAACATATCAGGTGACTCTTAAGCTACTTTTGGTTGATGAAGAGATTTTGTTGGGTTTGTTCCCTTCCCATGCCCTTTAATGGGGATGGCTTTTAATTATCCCCATTAAAGGGAATAGCAAGGAAAAAAACCCAGCAGGAAGGAAGTTATAGATAGCTGTTGTTTCCCAGTGAGGGATTCTTCAAATCATGGGCCAAAACCCTGTGAAGTAAACTAGATTTCTGTGAGAGTGATGACATCACAGAAAAAGAGAGACTGCGGTAGGTAAAATACTTCCTACTTTTAATGGGGCGCAACTGCAATAAGACCAAGAGCAGGAGAGTCAGGCGAGCCACAAGATCAAAGCAAAAACTCTTTAATTACCAGCAATCTCCTCCTGTCAGTGATGTCATCACTCTTACGAAGGTGTAATTACTCAATAGAATTTTGGACAGAATGTACTGCTGGACAATCTCTGTTGACTGACCAGTATTCCACTCAGTCTGAAATCTCCACCACAGGATCATATTTCACTGCAGATCTCACACACAAAACACGTGGCTTAGTTTCTGGACGTTTCGGGGCATTTCTATCTTTCTTCGTGCTACAAAGCAAAAACTCTTTAATTACCAGCAATCTCCTCCTGTCAGTGATGTCATCACTCTTACGAAGGTGTAATTACTCAATAGAATTTTGGACAGAATGTACTGCTGGACAATCTCTGTTGACTGACCAGTATTCCACTCAGTCTGAAATCTCCACCACAGGATCATATTTCACTGCAGATCTCACACACAAAACATGTGGCTTAGTTTCTGGACGTTTCTGGGCATTTCTATCTTCGTGCTACATATTTCTGTAGTTCTGCCCCCCCCCCCACGAAGAATTCTAGAAAACCCCTTGCAAGCTATTGGTCAGCTCTAAAAAAGGCTAAACAAACTCCGGATTTTGTTCTTACTACATGGTGTTCTGTCATCTACATCCGACCAGCCTTCACCATCATGTCCTGATTGCTTCCGCTAATCTTCAGCCAGATGGGTGGCATTAACTTGGATGAACTGGGAAGGACCAAGGCAACCTCAACAGGCAATACCCAGTTCCTATTTAACCGACTCACAGAGATCAGCAGGAAGGAGGGAGGCTGGCAGCGGTAGGAAGGTAAGCCAAGCAGGCAGAGTGGCTCACCTTCCCAACTGGGAACTTCTTCAAGAACTCAGGGGTCTTGTTGGTCTGTCCGAAGTGAAACTGGGGCGGAGTAGAGAGGACCTTGATCTTGGCACCACTGTACTGGGCAGCGATTAGGGCCTTGAATGCCCGCCAGTTCTCGGGATAGGTGTAGAGAGTCTGCAGGGAAAGAAAGACGCATGAAAAGCCAGCCCAGCCCACAAGAGGGGACTCTACATTCAGGACACTACCTTTTCCGCTCCAGGCAACCTATTGGGAATATGAACGAAGACATTTTGGGAGACAAGTCCACAGAATAACCACTGATGGATTTTTACAAGTTAACTGCCGATTGATTTTGGTTGACGGAAATGGGAAACAGCAAGCTGCGCTGATGATGTAGGATGCGCAGCTTGCTCTTTCCTGTCCACCGCTACTGCAGTACTGACACTGCAATATCTTCCAGGAAATCCTAGAAAGCTCTTCCATGACTTAAGGAAATAAAAGTGCTACCACCATTCCTTTCTCATGCGCTCACTCTGCTCACCTTCTCCTCTGCCAAGCCATCTGAGAGACCTTTCCTTACACTGGACCACACCCACCGAGCACAAGCCGCTTCCAAAATTCCTGGTAGTGATGCACTGCAGCCTGCTACTCCATCAGCGTGCCACGGCCACATCAACACGCACTCCTACCACACAGGAAACCCCCTTTTCTGGTGTCAGGTGATGCATTCGTCCTGCTCTGCTGTCGCCACTGACCTATGGCGTTCGAAACAGCTCCGCATCCAAGCAAGCCACCAACCACAAAGTCCTACATCCATTTTCCAAGGGCACCGCAATGGGCCAAGTGTGCAACTGAACCGCTCTGACACACCCCCTTCAAAGCCTTCCTCATCACGGCCGACTAGAGGCCTACCAAGCCATCCTCACCACTCCAACCTTCTCCTCCACCAAGCAGCTCTGACTCGGGGTCCCATTTGGCCACTGTTGTGTCACCCACACAGGAGGCTCTGGATACTAAATCTGTGAAAGACGTATTTCATGGGAGGGACAAACGGGTCCCTCCTTAGATACCAAAGAACCACGACTGCCACCATCCCAGGCTGGTCGGGCCCGATGGGAACTGGAGTTTTGACAACAACGACCAAACTGTACCTTTGCCAACAGCCCCTTTCCTCCTGCTCGGTCCCCTCATCATCAGCTACTAATAACCTACCACTGAAATACACATAAATATATTATTATTATTATTATTATTATTATTATTATTATTATTATTATTATTATTATTATTATTATTATTATTAAATTAATTAATGTATACTATC